CAGCACCTGGAAGCACGACCCTTTTCAGGAGAGTGGCCTCCACCTGAGCCCCACGGCGGCTGAGGCCAAGGAGAAGGCGAGAGCCACCCGGGTCAACAAACGGGCGCCACAGATGGACTGGAACCGGAAGCGTGAGATCTTCAGCAACTTTTGAGCCCCTCACTACATTTGCTGGACCCGGGCCTCCAACCTGCACGGACTTTTGGGCCTCGCCCCTTGGGCCCAGACCAGAGCTCCCCAAGCCTCAGTGGACTGGAGGAGGTGCATCCTCACCCCCAGAAGCCATGGTGGTCCCACCACCACCCAGGAACCAATCCACATCCCAGTGAGTCCCCGTCCTGATCCCCCCACCCCTGGGTGCTGGGGGAACGCGGCAGCAAGATTGGGGAGAGGGAGCCCCCAGTATGAGACATTGAAAGAGGGAGAGGCAGCGGTGACCCTAGGGGCCGGGGCCCTCGAAGCTCTGCCCGGGCCTGCTGACTTAAAGGAATTTGTGGTTTTGCTTTTTTTCCAAAAAGAGCTCCAGCTCCACACATGTTTCCACTTAATACCAGAGTCCCCGCCCCCGCCAGGACGTGTTCTCTAAATAATTGCAATAAAACAAACCTTTCTCTACAAACCATTTCCTCCCCACCCCTTCCTCCTCCTCCTTGGCAGCAGCCATCGGGTGGGAGTTCCAGGGGCTTCCTGGGATGGAGTGGGGTGGGCAGGCTGCTTGAGGGGCTTCAGGTGTGGCTGGGGAGGCCAGATGTGTCCCTTCCCCTCAGCCCCATCTTTACCTTCTCTGGCGTGTGGGTTCACTAGGTCAGACCCCCTATGTCCCCGCCATACCAGGGGTCTGGGTTGCAGGGCCTGGGCTCTCTCAAGGGCCTGAGGATGGAGGCCCCCTGCCCCTGAACAGGGCAGCCTCTGGACAGGCCCCTTGTTCCTGTGCCACAGCCCCCAGGCTTAGGGAGCGTGGCTGCACGAGAGCCTACCCCAGGGGTGACTCCAGGCTTTCGGCTTGGCCCCCACCTGGAGCCCTCCCCCAGTAGACCCTGACTCTGCCCGGAAACCCATCGACATTGCTGTCTGCCCTGTAAGCCATAGCACATCTGTGCCCTTGGAATAAACAGGACTTCTTCAGACCCCTGGCCGCCTTTGTCCTTCCTGAGCCCTCGGGTGTGGGGGAGTGGTGGTCCAGGCAGGAAGGTAGCAGCCTAGCAGCTCCATCCCCAAGTCTCAGCTGTTGGAAACAGGTCTCATTCTTAAACCTCCCCTCCCTGAATCCATCCACCTGGTAGCCAAGCCCCAACTCCTCTCAGCTCCTGCCCCCTGCCCCCCGCCCACTTGGGACCCCTTCCCGTGGAGCTCTGCGCTCCTTACTCTCTGAGGCCCTTGCTCACCTCCTCTGCCTAGTGAGGCCCAACTCCCTTGCTGGCACCTCCCCTGAGAAACTTTCTGGGCCTTTGGTACCCCATGAGCACCTCTGCCCTGGTATAGCCCCCCTAGCAGGTACAAAGGTCAGGCCTCATGCCCTGCAGTACCCAGCTGGGCCTCCTGGCATTCTTTTGGAGGCCAGGTGGCTCTGTAAGCACTGGGGGTGGGGCCTCCTGGCAGAGGCTAGGCTCTCAGGGTGCACAAGTTCAGGAGAGGGGGTGTTTCTGGGCCCCCAGCCATCTGCTGAGGGAGGGAGGGAGGAAGCCCAGGCCTCCAGCGTCCCCAACAGGCTTCCCAACAGCTGGCTACAGCTGGCTCCCATGATCCGTCTCTTCAGTCTGGGCTCCTGCATCCCCCTCCCCCCAAGTACACAGCCCAGATTGTCACGTCCACATCCTGGCCTCCCAGGCAGCCCCATTCCAGACATGTAGCAGGGGAACACAAAACTCATGCACACACTCCCAAGGGTAGAAGTCGGATCACAACTGTTGCAAACCCCCAAACTTTATTATGAACAGGCTGCAGCTCCCCAACAAAGTCGCAGAATATACATGGCCTTCAGCGTCCCTGTGCAGCTGGGCACAGGGCCTGGTTGAGGCAGGCCTGGCATCGCGGGTGGACAGGCAGACAAATCTGCTGGCCAAAGCCCACCAACAGTCCATTAATCTCTCTCCACAGGTCCCTGTGGGGATAGGAGTGGGTTAATGCAGAGAGAGAGAGAAAGAGAGGGAGAGAGAGGGAGAGGGAGACGGGGAGAGAGAGAGGGAGAGAGAGAGAAAGCGCGCTCGAAGGAAGGAGGAGGGGAACCCCGTCCTGCCCCTGCTGCAGCACCTGGGCAGCCACTCCTCCAGTGCTGCACGGGTCTCCTCCGGGTACTTGGTCACCTTCTTGGTCCACCTAAGTCGGTTGGCAATTCTGTGCACATGTGTGTCCACTGCTGCTTGGAGACAGGGCAGGATGAATGTGGGGCACACTAGCAGGCCCAGACCACCCCGTTCTTGCCCATGGTCCCATCATTAGCACAGGTTGGTGGGGGGGGTCTAAGTCACCCTGGCTTTCCACACAGCTGCTGAGGAGGGCCTAGAACTGCACAGTACCAGCCAGACATGGGAATGGGTCACCAGGCCATCCCTACTGCTGGGCAGGGGCTGTGGCCAGGAACCAGAGGACCTCATTTGGGGTGCAGGGAGCAGTGCCTTTTGGCCCAGTCACTGGCTGTGGGTGCCAGTATGAGGTCATTGCCTACAGAGCTAGCACCTGTAAGGAACAGAGTGGGAAGCACAGCCAGGCCAGCTGCAGCTGTTGCCCACCTGGGCCACAGCCCCTGCTTCCCTTTACAGGCCTCCTCAGAGCTCAGCCTGGGCACCTGATCACTCAGGCCTCCTTGCCCAGCTACCTGCAGTCTCTGTTCCCTCTTCCTATTTGCCAAAGAGAAAGCCAGTCCCTGCATCAGCTTCCTCTCCTGCTAACAAGCCCAGGTAGAGGGATTATACCCTTGAGCCCCCTAGCCTCAGATTCCCCTTCCATAACATGGAGGTGACTGTGTTCCATTAGGCCCAGCCTAGGGTCACACCACACTGTGTGAACCTGCTGTGGGCTGGTTCAGGAGGGCCACTGCTTCCTCTGCTTTGTGGCCAAAGCTCAGAGAGGCCAAGTGCCTTGCCCAAGGTCACACAGGTGAGGTGGCAGAGCTGGGATCAGCTTTCTCATCAAGGGAGCCGCTCCTGGGGAAACTCCTTGGAGGCAAAGCCTGCTCTCCTAGGGTTTCCCTGTGGGGGACCAAGCCCACAGACAACCAGAAAGGATGACATTCTGACACTCCTGCCTGCTGTGTCTGCCCTGTCCCACCCTGTCCTGTCAGGGCAGTGGGCAGGGGGCCCATCACCCACAGACCTGCCAGACCACTCCTGGGAAAGAGCAGCTGAGAACAGCCACCCAGATAAGCTCAAGTATCTGCTGAGAGGCTGGCATTTTCAGGAGCCCTAGTGGGGGGAGGCTCTGCCCTGGCCCCCTCCTTGGCCCAGTTCTGGCTCTCTGGGGCTGTGACCCCTAACTGCCCTCCTATTCATGGGCAGTGCTGGAAAAGGGCCCCCACCCCAGGGAGCAGGCTTCACAAGCTGCAGAAGCTGAGGGGACCCCACCCCCTCCCAGCCCTCCCTGCAGGAGTCCCAGAGAAGCCCCAGGGTTGGGCAGAACAGAGAGGTCACAGGGTCAAACCATGGTTTCTGGGCTGGCTGGGCCTGCTGCTGGGGCCAGAAGCCCCGACTCTCTGGGCAAAGACCTTAAGCAGCTGCCACACCCTGACCCACAGCCTGTCTCCAAACAGAGATCCTCCGATGACAGGATGCCAGGCCTGGACCCAGAAAAGGGATTCCAGGAAGGAGCTCCCCCACCCCCAGTTCCTCCTCCCCATCCCTCTAGACTGTTCCTCCTCTCCCTGGGTTCCCCTGCCTTCACATCACCCCAATCTGCCCACATTCATTCCAGAGCCTCCTGCTTCTGGACCTCACTCCCACCTCATGGCTTTGCAGATGCTGTTCTTCTACCTGGAACACACTTCCTCCTCTTGGTCCTGCCTTACCCTTCAGCTCTTGGATGAGTTACCACTTCCTCAGGAAGTCTTCCTGGATGCACACCCCCATGAGGGTTCTACCCCACCAGTGAGGATTGTGCAATGTCTCTCTCCCTTACATAGCACAGAACCCGAGTCTATCCCCAGAGCCCAGCACAAAGTAGTTGCTCAGCAAGTGGGAGCTCTTCCCAACAGTACTTATCTCAGGGTGGGACAGGGCTGGCTCAGTACTGGGAATACTTTTCTGACCCTTTGGGCTGAGTTGTGGATGAGGAGACCTAGGTTGGCGTCACAGGATGTGGGGAACCCTGACAGCAGTCAGCAAGCTCCACTCTCCTCATGGGCACATGCCACTCACCGATGCCTGACACAGTACCCCAGGCCACAGCCATGGCCAAGTGTGCCATTTTGGGCCCAACACCTGGCAGTGCCACCAGCTCTGCCACAGAGGCTGGGATGTCGCCGTCATAGTTCTGCTGCAGGATGGCACTGGTCTGCTTGATGTACTTCACCTTGTTCTGAAAAATGAGGGGAGGTGTTCAGTCCTGGAGGCAGGAGGTAGAGTCCAACCTGGGAGGATAAGGCCCCAGGAAGAACCACAGGTGCCCAAAGCTGTCTGTCACCTGCCTAGGACACTCAGAGGCACTTGCTTGCTCTTGTCCCCCAATGAGGTGGGAACCAAGGGAAACGGGCAGCCTAAGGGAGGCCAATGCAGGCCCTGCCTTCTATCTGTCTGGGCCAATGACATGTCTGTGGGGTCTAGTTTGGGTTCCCCCCAGACCCATTATTACTCCCAGAGGCCAGGCAGGCTGGGCAGGACCAGCATGCCAGGAGCTGGGTTCAGCAGCACCTGGGACTTCAGGAAGGAAGGCTGGAGTCTGGGGTTCCCTGCCAGCCCACAGGCCAGCTGGGCGGTTCCCATCCTGTGCCTGAGCAGACAGGGCTATTTAAAACCCATCTGACACACTGCAACCCACACCAGTGCCTAGGGGAAGTAGCCACACCCGCCTGGCCACCTTCAACAAATCTGCCCACCCACCACCCTGTGCTGGGCCTCTTGGGACTTTGGGAGTGGGTAACACACTTCAGGGAAGCTCAGAGTAAACAAAGGGAAAGGGGTGGGCAGCCTCAGTGAGAAAGGGAAGGGCCATGCAGCTGGGTGGGGAGATGGAGGAAGGAAGGGGTGGGCTGCAAACAGGAAAGGCCAAGGAGTTCCAGGGCCTGGCCTTGAGGCCCCATTGCCTGGCCCCCTGTAGGCTGCTCAGAGGGCCGGGGGGCTCTAGTGAAAACTCACATCCAGGCCCGTGTGGCGAGAAATGTCCAACCCAGCCTCCTGTACCCCCACAGCTGCCCTCAGCCACCTGATATCTTTTCCAGGCCAGTGGCAACCCCAGCCCTGGTCAACATAGGCTGGACTCACCCTCCAGAAGCCCACGGGGTAGATGAGTGTGCCCAGGGTGCTGTCATCTGTCTGCAGGATGTTGTCCACTGTTAGGCCCCGGGCCTGTAGCCGCTGCATGGCGCCTGCTGTCACCTGGTCTTTGGTCTGGCTAGAGAGCATCAGTGATAGCAGCACCTGGTACCTCCGAACCTGCTCACAGTGTCAGGGACCAGAATGGTGGTCAGTCCTGGGTGCTCACTGTGGGCCAGGCCCTAGCCAAGCCTTTACCCACATGAAAACAGATGGGACACCAGCCTCCTACACACCTTGGCCAATGAGGGGAGGTGTGTGGGATCTAGCCTGGGCCTGCTTTTCATCTATAACTTGGGAACAATAATAGCACCTGCTTCTCAGAATCACTGTGAGGCTTAAATGAATTCTTACTGCAGTTAGGCTTGTACCTGGCACAATGTCAGTGCAGCAACCACTGCCTATTACTGTTACTGGTATGTGAATGATGCTACTACCCATTTTGCAGACAAGCAAACTGAGGCTCAACTCACCCAGTGCAAGAGCTGGGATTAGAATCACGTTGGTCAAAGGACCAGGCTCCAGGTTAGGTTTCTCTATCAGCAAACCTACTTAACGCCCCTAATGATCCAGCACTGTGCTGGCATAAGACAGAGCATGAGGCCCCAAGCCACAGGTAACCATGACTTGCCGATTGGCCACAATGAAGCAAGTAATGCTGCCCAGTGCTCTGGGTCCCAGGTGTGCATCCTCTCAGGGTGGTGCCTGCAGGGGAAGGTGCCACCTAAGAGCTGCCAAGTGTCAGGCTGTGCCCTGCCACAGGCTGAAAGGAAAAAAGCATCTTGTTCAAAAGGGGTTCACCAGGCAGATGGGGCCCCTGCCTACCTTTGGGGGCACATTGGGGTCATAGCAGTGCTCAACCCCTAGCTGGTCCACAGGCGCGTCCTTCTCACTCCTCATGGTACGGATGTTTGCCAGCTGCTGCTGCCAGTCCTGAGGCTCCCAGCTTGGCAACTTGGTCCCCTCTCTTTTCTCACCATCTGAGGTTTCATAGGCTACATTCAGACTTTGTGCCTTCCGCTGACGCTTCACAGGGGGGTGGCTTTTCCTTCCTTCTGCAAAAAAATGCCAGTCTCTTCAATGGGGGACACAGGTAAGGATAAGGTGTTGCCCTACCTGCTCTCTCACCTCTCATCATTCATTCTTTCAACAAGCATCCATCACCTACTACTGCTGGAAGTGCTCTGTTCTCTGTAGCACGCATCCAGAGCAGGTCAGCCTTCTTTGTGCCACTGCCCCCATGACCAAGTCCAAGTTAACACATGAGAACTCTGGTAACAGCCTCCACCATGGTGCCCCCTAATCTAGTCTCCACACTGTCAGAGAGAACTTTGGAAGACAAAAGTGGATTGTGTTACTTCCTGTTTGAAAGTCCTCATTGGTTTTTCTTTGTACTCGTAATGAACTCCAAACTCTGTCCTGGCAACAAAACTCCTGCCTACCTGGCTGGACTTGTCCCCTGCCTGTTCCCTCCAGCCCCAGTTCCTCCCGCCATGCTCCTGGTGGATCTTCTTTTTCTGGACTACCCTCTGGGGTCCTTGGGTGCCTATGGGAATCCCCCTCTGGCCAATCCTGCAGACATGACCACAGGACAAGATGCAGAGGCCCTGGCATTCTCATTCACTGGTCAATCCTGTGCGAGGCACGGAGGAGATCCTTAATGACTACAGGATAAGCATAATGAAGGCCATATGCCTTTCTGTTATCTCTAAGAGGCACCCTCCGGCAAGGAGAGGACTTCTGGCTTCGGGTGTCCTGGGCACCCAACTTCTCTGAGAAGTAAGCAGCTATAAGAGAACACGGCCAGTCTGCCCCACAGATAGCTTGGCGCAAGTGGAACATCCCAGGACAGGCTAGTGGGACGGACTGGGAGAGGTGTGCGCGCCCGGAACCCAGACCCTGTGGACTCCTGCCCCTGACTCCTGGGAACTGAGGCCAGGTGAGAGTCCAGCTGCACGTGGGGCCGCGGAACTTGCTTGCTGCTGCCGGGTCCGCCACGTTCGACGTCCAGGTCCCAGCCCACGAGGCTTGGAGCCTCGACCCAGGACCCCGGCCCTCAGTCCTTTGCAGTCCCCTCCCTCTCCTCTCCCCTCCCCTCTTTTCCCTGCAGGGTCGTGGCGCTACCTGCGGCCGCCTCTCCCCTTTGGAGCGGCGTAGCCTCCTCCCCACTCCTCCTCGGTCCGGCCCCAGGTCCCCGGCTCCGGCTGCGGGTCACCATCCTCAAGCCCACGTTGTTCATGCCGGACTCCTGCGAACTACACATCCTGGCGGCCCCCGCGGCCTGGTCATGTGACTCGTCTCTCACCTAGTTTTGTTTTTTTTCCGCTAAGAGAAACCTAGAACTACGACTCCCAGCAAACCGTGCGGCGGCCTCGGACGCCATCCGCTGCGGCGGCGCGCACTTCCGGCGGCAGCCTGGGCTGGGGGGTGTGCTCTCTCCTCGGCGCTGGGACGGGACGGCCCG